AAAATATCTGAGACAGTTGTGGGAGGGCCCCACACAGCACCAGAGATTTGCATGTTCCTACCAACTTCAGTATTTATTGTTCATCCATGTCAGTGAGATTAATTCCAATGTCTAAATTAAAATTTCAGTATAAAAAGGCCAGTTGGGTTTTTAGTTCTGAATTACTGGAGGATCCGTTGTTTCAACAATAATGTTTGTCATTTTTTCGTATTTCTTTTACATTTTAATTATAACTCATCAAATCTTAACCGATTATTCCTGGGTTAGACTCAGAAGAATGTCACTGAAGGGTGTTTTAATTTAATGGAAGCAGTGTAACATCTGTTTGTAATGTTTTAAAAGCCAATTTATATGGAAATTTTGTTTTAGCAGGAAGTAAATAGATATGTAGTTTTCTAACACCACCTGTAAAAATTCAAAACTTGAATTAAAGCAGCAGCAAAGCAATCCCATTCTTTCTTGTAGTAGTAGTGTGATTTCATTTTCACAGCCTTCCATTTGTACCCTTTTCCTTCTGTTGAAATGAAGTTTTTATTTTTCTTTTGTAGTCGAGCTATCAGGACAAACCAGGACCTTCTGCCTGAGACACCGTGGACCCATATCTTCTACAATGACTTTTGGGGGACACTACTCACTCATAGTGGAAGCCACAAGTCCTACAGACCTCTCTGCACGCTCTCCTTCCGCATTAACCATGCTGTTGGAGGGATGGACCCGTGGGGCTACCACCTTGTAAATGTTCTGTTACATGCTGCAGTCACAGGCCTTTTCACAAACTTCTCCAGGATCCTGTTTGGGGATGGGTACTGGACCTTGATAGCAGGCCTGCTGTTTGCATCTCACCCGATCCACACGGAAGCCGTAGCGGGGATCGTAGGGAGGGCAGACATCGGAGCCTGCCTCTTCTTTCTCCTTTCCCTGATGTGTTACATGAAGCACTGCTCTACCAGAGGTTCCTCACCAAGTACTTGGGGATGGATGTTGGGAGCAGGGCTGTGTGCGGGATGCAGCATGCTGTGGAAGGAGCAAGGAGTGACTGTCCTGGCCATTTCAGCAGTGTACGATATCTTTGTATTTCATCGACTGAAAATGCATCAGATCATTCCTG